TCTGGCTAAAGCACACTGAATTCCTTTCACTATCTAAATCACATTAATTTCGTAGAATCCTTGAGATCTTTAGAATTTTCTGTTGCTTTGTTTGTTTGTTTGCTTTTTTGCATGAAAACAACTTTTGCTTACCCTTTCCATGTCTGGCACCCTTAGGTCTCAGCTTCAAAGACTTCTTTGACCACCGTATCTAAAATAGGTCCCTCACCCTATTTATTCTCTCTTCTTACCTTGCTACTGAATTGTCCCATAGCAACATCTTTGTTTTTGTTTTTGTTTTTTCTTTGTTTTTTTCATCCCTCTACACCACTTACCTATTAATTTCACCAGGGCTTGTGTCTGATTAAAAATTATATCTTCACATCCTAACATTGCTACTGACACATAGTAGTCTAAATTTCTACTGGTTGAATGAATGAATGAATGAATGAATATGGCAAATCAGAAGAGAATGAAGCTGTAATTTTCTGCTGCTTTGTGGATATGAAGAGTTCTTTTCATCTATATATTTTTTAAAAAATATTTTTCTGTTGACAGAAAATTAATAAAGCTAATTAGTTGAATATAAACAGAAAATGTATTTAATTTTTACGTTGGGATATAGACTACTTGAAAATGTGAGGCCATTTTCATTTATGTGGAAAATTATTCAAAATTTACCTAAGTGTATATATACACTTTGCCATGTTGGCTTTTCCATTTTAAAATGTTATTAAAGCTTTAAAATAAAAGTTCTCATTTCATTCCTTTGGGGGAAATGTAGTTTTGCTTATTTTAATGACCTACTTAGATAGTAACAAGAAGAAATGTTAATGAAAATCTGACTCTTGGTAAACAGAAGGATTTAAGGAAGACTTAGAAATGGAGGTAGCAATACAGCAGTAGCCTAAGGTTTTAAAGACTAAGGTGTGGGTGGTGGTCTTGTCCACTATTAGTTCAAGGGTTCTCGGGCAATTCATTGGAACTTTTCTCTAGTGCCCTTTGTAACAGAAATGATGTCTGCCCTGTTTATTTTGTTGTGTTATTATAATAATCTTATTTGATATTGTTATATGAAAATGTTTTCAAAACTTTAGAGGACTCCATGAATGTGAAATCCTATTATGCTAGTGAGCACCCTTGCAAAACTGACCCTAATGCTCCACTCTTATTTCAGAGAGGTTGAGAAAGATGTTCTAAGGCAATTTTATATATTGAGGCCCAGTGCATGAAAATCGTGCACTGGGGGGGCGGGGGGGGGAGTCCGTCAGCCTGGCCTGTGCCCTCTCGCAGTCTGGGACCCCTTGGGGATGTCCTTCTGCTGGCTTAGGCCTGCGGGAAGCGAGCCTACGCCAGCAGGCGGACATCCCCCAAGGGATCCCAGTGCTGCTGCAGAGGCAGGAGAGGCTCCCACCATATCCACTGTACTCACCAGCTATGAGCTCTGCTTCTGGCTGAGCGATGCTCCCCCTGTGGGAGCACACTGACCACCAGGCGGCAGCTCCTGCGTTAAGCATCTGCCCCCTGGTGGTCAGTGCACGTCATAGCAACCAGTCGTTCCACCGTTCGGTCTATTTACATATTAGCCTTTTATTATATAGGCTAAGCATTTATTATTTCAAATCATGTACACCAAGAGGCTGAGATGAACAACAGTTTGTGTAAGCCTTCAATAAGTGGGAAATGGGTAAGGGCTGGCTTCCTGAACAATCTCCTGGTGGTCAGGACCCTAGCTATGCATCTTTCAGAAGACTTACAACAGTGTTGAAAGTGGATAATGGCACAGGGGGATGCTTTTCTAGCTCCTCGGTGGCTTGGATGCCACTTCTAAGCAGGTAGAAGCTACTTCAGGATGCTAGCAGACTGATTTGTCAGAGACTGAATAAACTTCACCCATCAGAAGTCCTGATCTAGCTTTCACACCATGCCTCCTTCCTTCTCTTCTCACCTTTCCCCCCTTTCTTCTCCAATTGGAGAATGTGGGAAACCAGTGAGAGGAGATCCTGGAGGGATGAAAAGAAGAGAACTATTTCAGTTCCTTTTAGTTCCCCCATTGCAAGCTGTGCTGCTGAGTTAAAAATATGCAATTTAGTTTCTAAATCTATTTCAACCCTTTCCTGGCCTACTGAGCAATCACAAACCGTCCGGTTTCAATTCAGATCTTTGCTTTCAGCTTTACTTTAAATGGAACACAGCTAAGTTGTACAAACAGATATAAAGTCAATGCTCCACAAAGAGCAAAGGTAGGATGAAAGGAACCAGGATGTAGATCCATATTTATAGCATACTGGTCAAAACCTGAATTGTTTTCATTTTATTTTTAAAATGCCAAACTTTCCACAAAGTATAAAATTTCAAAGAAGGGATCACACTTGTGGCTTCCAAGAGTCTCTGCTAAGGATGCATTTAGTTATTATTTTCAGTGAATTCTATTTCATTTACAACAGCCTGTAAACAGGTTACACATTTTCTGCAGGTGAGAATTACTATTCCTTTGTCACATTTGGCATACTACGCATTTACAGACAATGACCCACTTCTAAAAAATGAATCACATTTACCACCAACATTTATAAACAGAGCCAAAAAAAAAAAAATTGTGCTATAGTAAATTTGTACTGATTAATCAACTGCTAACACTCGAAGTAAGGTGAATTCAACCCCTTCCCATAAAACTATAAAAAGTATCTCCAGGTGGGTAAAGCAGATCACTTGGCAGTGACAAGTAAGATGACTAATAATGCCTTTGAGATATTTCAGCAGCACTGCAGCTAACCAAAATCCAGCAATGGCCCACGTAGACTGATTTCACTCATGTTATTGTCCGTATAATATTATGGGAGAGGGTAGTTGGTAAAAAGAGCCTATCTACAGTGGATCCCTTCTTCCTTTTCCATTAGAATTTGTATCGTAACTAACTGGGCAAATATTATTTTAGCTCTCAACGTTTAATAATAAAACCATAGTTTCGATTATAAATTTTCACTTTAACTTATGTTCAGGTGCATCAATTCTTTAAGGAATATTTAAGCAACATGTGATTTAATACTCCTGCTTTTTCTCCCCTTTACTTGAAATGTCACGTTTAAAACCTTTATGAGCAGATAAATCTTCTCTTATTGGCATCATATAGATTTAAATGCTATCACATCACCCGAAACATTCTCCACAAAATTATGTTGGCTCTAAAGTGTTAATTCCCCAGTCACTTATGAAAGACTGTGCACTGACAAATGATTCGCTTTTGTAAGAGAGCCTCTTTTCAGATTTGCTTAAAGGCCATCACAGAGCTGAGCAGCCCACCCCTGGAGAAGCATGTGAAAAGGACCAGGGGAATCTTTCATCCTCCTCACTCATATTTATCACTGTCAACACACAAAGGTTGAATTAATACCCTCATGGCTCTCCATAACCTTCTCATGAAATCCAGAAAAGAGTGGTTTGGATCAGAAGACCTGGCCCGACTCCAGTCTATCATTATTAATATGCTGTGTTCCTGTCTAAACATCTTTGTCAAACGAGAAGAACAAAAGGACTCCAAAGATTCATCCAGTTCTACTTTATCCGATTCTATTTTGTTTTTTCCAACAGGTCTTTGTAACCCGGGTCCACACTCCTTCTACATCACATCTAATCCTGGACTCTCTCACAGGATTGTTCTGCTCCCTTTTACTCTCTCCATTTTCCCATCATCTTATCTCCTACACATCCTCAACAGGAAGCTGAAATTCCTCCAAGCTTCCAATACATGTCATGTGATCCTCATCGCACAGCATGTGATCTCCTCCCAATCTGCATGGGTTTGTCTTTTAAATACACAACCTGAATTGGGTTCACATCATGCCCGGGCCCCTTGCTAAATGTAAACTTGCACCACCTCCTGACCTCCCCAAGCCTCAGTTTCTTCGTCTGTAAAATGGGAATAGTAATAGCTTTCGCTCACAGTTGTTGTGAGGGTTGAACAGTAATGCCTATGAAATAGATGATATGAACATTCTAATAAATACCTACAATATTAGTTGTCATTGTTGTTATTACTACTGCTACTAGAATGTCAGCTCCCTTAAGAAAAAGTCTGTATCTTCAACTCATTTCCTGAGAAGGATCAAGCGCATTGTGTGATGGGAATAAACAGGGACTTGTTGGTCAGAAGACCTGGGCCCACACTTCTGATGAAGTCCGCAGTCTTCTCTGAATTGGTCTGAGAGGGAGTCTGAAGTGAAGAATCGTTATCTTGAGATTTCTGTAAACCTTGTACTTAGCACAGTGCCTGCCACATAGGTTTTTATTATGTAAGCAAAGGGAATAGAAGTATGCAAAAGAGCAACAGTATTGTTATGGATGCACCTCTATTCGACCTTTTATAAATATTTATTATAGAAATAAAACCGAAACACCTCTGACTGCAAAGTCTTAGGAGAGAAGCAAATGGCCCCTCCCCAAATAAATAAAAAAATGCCTCCCACTGTAGAAGAGAAAACAACGGGGTTCTCCAGCAGAGCAGGCAGCTTCCTGCCCCAGATTCATGTCCTAGGTAGAGAACAAGGCCGAGGTTTTGGCTGGGGGACTGACACCACGTGGGAGCACAGGGGACATAGGATCAGCTGTTTCCAATGCAACCTGCTCTGAGACAAATGGCCAGGTCCAGGGGAACCCCCTGCTCAGGGCACGAGGCAGCGGGGCAGCTGAGCCCCAAGTTCCCATTTTTTACTTTCCCCTCCAACCTCCCCCTCCCAGCAGTCAGGTCCCCGGGAGGTAATTAGTGTGGGGGAGAAGCAAAGCTTCCGAGGGGGCAGGGGCGGGGAACGTTTGGGGGCGGTCTTCCTGCCAGAGGTCTTTCTTAGGGGAGGAGAGGGAGGAAGGGGTGTCAGAGGGGAGGGTGGGATGGAGAGGAAGATAAATAGATTGATATTGCAATTTTACACGCGAGGCATACCTAATGATACTCCCACAGACAGACAGACAGGCAGACCGAGAGAGGGACAGACAGGACACACTTGAGCGTTTGAAATCGTTCATACCCCCAAATCCAGGACGCAGCCTGTTGTCGTAACCATCCAGTAAACTGTCCAAGATGCGGGTAAAATTTTCCGGGCATAATTTCTCCTCCTTTGGGTTCTGTCCTGGGGATTCGTTTAAACTGCGGATGAAAAAAAAACAAAAAACCGGGGGTGGAGGGGGTTATTTTAAGAATCACAGAACAGGTGGGTAACAGGTTTATCTTCCATGGAAAGAGTCGTTGCCCCAGGCTAAAGGAGGCAAAGCTGAAGGATAATGGAGAGGAAGGGGCAGGGAGACGCACCGCGCGCACACGAACCCCAACACCCCCACTCTTCTTTGCACCCGGTGGCCCTCCGGCTCTCCGCGTCTACGCAGTCACAGAAAAGCCTGGCTCCGGCTCCTGACTTTACAGCGCAGACAGGAGGGTCCGGTTTGCCCTGTGAGGGGCAGACGGCCGGAGAGGTCCGGGAGCAGGCCACATCGCCACCTTCCCCTAGGGCCCCCCAACCCCCAGGACCCCCGAGAACTCACCAAGCCTCCAGGCACAGGATGTGCAGGAGGGCGAAACTGACTCCGAAGGACGTCGCGATCGCGGGTACCTTCTTGGCAGAAACCATCTTTGCAACATGCCATACTTTAAGCCTGATCACGGTTCCAGGCTCTCCGGATGCCCTGAGCAGGGTGCGAGGCGAGGGCAGAGCTCTGCACGGCGTGCGCACACTCGCGCTCACACTGGCCCGCGCTCACTCCCCCCTCCCTCCCTCGCGGAGCTCCCGATGTGGATGGAGAGCGATGTACACGATCAACACCCTTTCATGCCCGCACCCCGCAGCTCCCGGGTCGGTGGTGGCTAGCTTTCGCCGGAAAGCTGAGCAAGTTCTTCCCGACCTTGAACTCTGGGGCGCAGGGCCGGGGTCTCCAGGCGCGAGGAGGGGCCCACGCGCCCCCACCCCAAGCGCATCACTGCCCACGGCCCTGCTTAGCTTGCACTTCTCGCTCTCGGTCCCCCTCTCTACCGCTGGGATTTGGATCCAACCAAGGAAGCTCCTCCCTCCTAAGGTTGTTCGGGACCTGTTTGCACCCATTTTCAGGCTGGAGGCGGAAAAGGGCAGGATGACAAAGGCTTGCTGGGCGGAAGGGTGGGCGACCGCGGTTAGGAAAGTGATGCGGTCCAGACTGAAAGCTACCTCTGAGACTCCCTTTTAGGTGTTGGGGGCGGCGAAAGAACTGAGATTCTTCCTGGCAAAAGGGGTTGCAACTCACTGAGCGGACTCCTGAACTATTCGGAAGTGGACTTGAGCCTCACTCTGTAGTAGATGCATTTCCCAAGCTGTTGCTGTGAAGATACCGAATTCCTTTACTATACCTGCCTCCCACCTGGCAGACACAGGGCCTCGCTATCCTGTCCCATTCTTTCCTCAGAAGAGGGGGAGAGATAGAGACAAAATCACTACATCTTTTGCTTTGTGTGACACTCAACAGGCACTCTTTTCTTCCATAATAGAGCTGACTGAATTCAGAGGTTTGTTGCTTTAGTGCGGTAGAAAGGATGGCTGGGGAGAGGGAGAGGAGAGATACAGGGAAAAGAGAAAAATGTGTGTGTGTGTGTGTGTGTGTGTGTGTGTGTGTGTGTGAGAGAGAGAGAGAGAGAGAGAGAGAGGAAAAGAGAGTGCAGACTTATGAAGGTGTTCAGTTATACCTCTTAACTTTTTTCTTTAAAGGTAACATAAGTCTTTGATTGCTCTGTTTAATAGAATTTGAATTGGGTCCAAGTACACTATCCCCAAACATCATTGTATTATGTCAGCCACATGTTATAAATTTACCATAGAGATTTATATCTGATTTGGTGGGATGCAAATAATATAGATCATAGATCATCCTACTCCTAAAGTCTTAGGATGGACCCCCAGAGTCCACAATAATTATGAAATTCCTTGAAAATGAATGCATGTAAGTATTCGTATTTCTGTGGGACTGTTCATAACTTTCATCAGTTTCTCAAAGGTTATGGACAACTATAGTATGGACTGATGTTTTAATATAAAAGATAGCACATGTAGTAGAACACTCAACCAAGTGATTAAACACTTGTGACTAATTTGTGACAGTGTGACAATCATCTCTATCTCATTTGGTAAACTTTCTATTGCCAGTTTCTATACACTATTATGTTGACTTTGGATCTCCTTTGAAGGTATTTGTTATGAATTTATCAAATGACCAAATAAAATGAATAATTTGAAAGGTTTCAACCTGTTCTTACTTTCCCTTAATTATTTCTGGTAAATATTGAACCAATTTTAACCATTTGAAAAGGGTAATGATGTGAATCACTGTTTTAAAATCTAGAGGTTTATGGATATACACTAGTTGAGACATTTTGGTTTCAAGAGTATAGAAGCTACCAATTACTTTTATGCTAATGCATTTCTTTGTCCCATGTATTTAAGATAAGTGAGAAGAATCAATTTGATGCTCTTTAGTCATGCCTTTCCTTGTTGGTATGAAACCAAAGTTTCTACTGAAAGTTTACTTGTATGCTGGCCCGTTATTGTCTGATGATAGATTTTGATATCCTTAACAGGTCTCAAAACTGTGCCTATTGTATTAAAAATTACTACATAAAAATAATAATCTGGGGTACCTTAACAGATTCTATTTGAATGAACATTTCATGATAGCAGTTGATACTTCTTCCAAAATAAGTAATTTTTTTGCCATATAGCTAATGCAGATTTAGTTATTTCAATGTGATTATTTGAAAGAATAATAGTTGGGCAACAATTGTATCTTATCTGAATAATTTCTATATATAAAATTTGAAAATTTAACTATTATATTGTTTTTAAGTTATTAAGTATTTTTCTAATTCTCCATGATTAAGTTAGGCATTGAAGTGATACATCTATACTTAATAGTCTCCCATTTCCCTCATTCATTTAAATTACAATAAGAAATACTAGCTCTCTAATATCAGCTTTTGTTTCATTGGAAAATCCAATGTTTTATAATAAATAAAAATATATATATTTTAAGGTCCTGGAATCCAAGTAATGAATTTAATAAATACTTTGTAAACTCATTTTCAAATGGCTAGTAATGTGAGAAGCATTATTTTATTTTTTAGAGCTTGAATTTTGGAATGACTTCTTAGAGTAATTTTAAGACAATTTATAGTCAATTCCAAAGAGAGCCATGATTTCATGTTAGTGTGTGTGTGAATGGTTTATAAAGTTTATACAGAAATATTAGAAGGAACATTCCCTTGATTGTACATGCGTTTATGTGTGTGTATTTCCAAGTTTCTAGGGGAAAAATACTATTATCAAGTGATAGATTTTTTTGTTCAATACCTGATAGTAATGATTAGCAAGGTCAATTTATGCATTACCAATAGTGCCCCAAATTAAACATATTGTTAAATTTGCTGCCAAGTTCCTACTTTGTGATAAGTATATTATCTTTATCTTCTTTCTTTCTTTCTCTCTCTCTCTCTCTCTCTCTCTCTCTCTCTCTCTCTCTCTCTCTTTCTTTTTGAGGGTTGTGTTCTCTGAGGCCTCTCTCCACAGTTTATTGATGGTCATCTCCTCACTGTCTCCTTATGTGGTCTTTTTTTATGTATGCATGCATGTCTGTGTCCAAATTTCCTCTTCTTAAGAGGACATAGTCATATTGGATTAAGAACCACTCTAAAGATCTCAGTTTAACTCAATTGTCTTTTTAAAATCTTATTTTTCCAAATCGAGGCACATTCTGAGGCACTGGAGGTTAGGACTTAAGAATATGAATTTGGTGCTTGGCCAGCTCAGTGGTTGAATGTCGACCTATGAACCAAGAGGTTATAGTTTTATTCTCCATCAGAGCACATGCCAGGGTTGCGGGCTCAATCTCCAGTGTGGGGCGTGCAGGAGGCAGCTGGTCAATGATTCTTTCTCATCATTGATATTTCTCTCTCTCCCTCTCCCTTCCCTTCTGAAACCAATAAAAACATATATTTTTTTTAAAAGAATATGAATTTGATTGGGGAAACATAATTCAGTCTATAACAGTGCTGAAGCTTCAACTATATAAAAAAATGAAACTAATATACATATGAGTTTGTAAGTTCATTAAGCCATAAAAGCTATACTTGTTATTATTATGTCTAGTAATGATGATGATCTTTATTATTGTAATAATACCAATTCTTATTTATTCATAGCTAATATAATTTAAATGTTCAGAAAAACACAAGTAGTTAGATATTCATTTCCAAATTTTGTAAAGAAACTGAACCTTAGAAATGTTAACTAATTTGCTCATAGTTAGTTACATGACCAAAAAATAGAAAGGTCAAAATTTTATTCAGTTTCTCTGGAGAATTACTTTGGAAGAATTTTTTTCGTTTTGTTTTTTAATTTGATATGTGTATGTATTGTGAAATGATTAGCACAATAAGGTTAGTTAACACATCCATCCCATTATATAGTTGCCTTTATCTGTATGTGTAGTATGAACATTTAAGATCTATTCTCTCAGCAAATTTCAAGTATACAACACAGTATTGTCAACTGTATTCACCTTGCTATATTTTAGATTCCTAGAACTTCTGCACCCTGTAATTGAAAATGTGTACCCTTTGACCAACATCTCCCACACCCCCAACCCTTGGCAAACACTAATTACTCTGTTTCTATGAGTTTAGCATTTTTAGATTATACATATTAGTTCTCTTTCTATATTGTCTTGTTTCAAGAGTGATATGGGACTAATACCACCAATTTGGAAAGCCATTTGGCAAAATATTAAAGTTAATTATGATCATACCCTATGATCAAGCCATCACATGCCTGTTTTATAGGCCATAGAAACTCCCAAACTTACAACAGTATATTTGTAATAGTGGACAATTTGAAACAAATTAAATGTTCTTTAGCAGGGAAATGGATACATAATATTGTGGTATAAATTGAGTACTATTAAGCAATTAAAATGAAAGAAATCAGGTATATGTATTAATATGGTATATGTCAGGAATATAATGTAAATAAAATGCAAGTGGTGGAATAATACCTTCAGTAAATTATTATTCATACAAAATTTAAAGCATAAAAGATAACGTACATTGTTTAATGGTACATTTGTAGTGATCTGAAAGCTGCTTGGAAAAGTTAACACCAAATTAGAGATAATGAGCATCTGTGGAGAGGAAGAAAGAAATGGGATAAGGAACGTTGGTTACTACAACTTTTTATTTAATGCTTTATCTCATTTTTTAAAATCTGAAGCAAATATGACAAAATGTTAAATCTTGACAAATCTGGTAATAGACACTTGGGTTTTCATTATATTACTTTTTCATATTTTTCTGATTATCTTTTGCCGTATATAACAAAACATTAAAAACTAGCTTAAAACAACAATTTATGATGATCTCTCGGTATTCATGGCTAGACAAGGCTCATTTGGCTGTTCTCCTTGGAAATTCCTCACCCTGGGTGGTTAGATGGTGGGTACAGGTGCAGTTATCAGAAGGTTTGACTGAAAGTCATAGAAGTCATAGAGTGACACCACTCTTGCATTCTACTGGTCAAATTAAGTTGCAGGACCCAATCAGGTCCATATAGAGGGGATGCACAAGGTCAGGTTACTGGGAGACATGGCTTATTGGGTGGCCATATATACTTTTTATATGCCTGTAATATTCATAGAAAAAGTCAAGAACATTTTATAAAAATGGTGTGATGGAAAATTTTATGTGTCAGCTTGGCTTGGCCACAGTACACAGA